TTTTGTTCATTGTTCTGCTTTTGGCATTTCGTTCAGGCTGAAAAACTTCCCCCAAAGGAATGTGGGTCATTCCATTGGGAATTGAAAACAAAGAAAGGAAATAAAACAGCAAAAGGCAAGGTTGATACAAACATACATCTTATCCGGCTGACACAGAAAGATTTTTCTACGTCAACCACACCACCAGCTGGAAAACATGCGAACATTTTGTAGATATCTTCTATATATTCACCTCAATGGAAGAGACGTAAGAAGAGTAATAAAAAAAATATTTTTTGTCGCATGTTTGACTATTCAGGAAGTATATTGAATAATTTTTTTGTTTTTGCTTTTTTGGTTTTGTGTAATTATTTATCTGACTCTCAATTAAAATAATGTCGATTTATCGATTGTACAATTATTATTGCTGTATAACACCTCATAAAAATTGTACAAATCGTCACAATAAACTTTACTTCAATAGAACGTGTTTTGAATATTCTTGGCGTATTTTTTTCGTATTTTTTATTTGTTTACTTAAAAAAATACACACACAACATAACGCATGAGCAACGCAGAAAATCCTTTAAAACCACTAAAAATGCCACGGACATTTGAACGTGAGACAGTCGTCAGTATAGAAACCAAGCAAACCAACTGAGAATTAAGTCTTAACCAAAACCGCCGCCGTGCAGCACTCGAAAAGTGAATGGAGACTCGGGTAATAGACGGGGTAAAAAAAAATCAAAATTCAATGTCAATTCATGTGTTTGACAGCCCGGCCTGGCAGTATATGTAGACTTCTTCGGTCGCTGCTGAAATGGAACACACGCATACCGGCGACGCTGTCTGTCGGTTGGTTGGTTGATGTGTCCGTCCATTGTTACGTACCTTATAATGTATTTGTTATACAACACACAAATATTTTTGTTAGTTTTTGTTGTTGTTGTTAGTATTATGGAATATTAAGAGGTAGTTTTCTACATTGAGGCATTGAAATAAATACCGCCGTTTTTCTCGCTTAAAGTTTAGGTTTATTTTGGGTTTGCTTTTATTTTAATTTTTTTCTTTCGAAATTTAATAATAAAGACATTCGCGTCTGCTCGTTTGAGCCTGCCGTTAATTTATTTGTATTGTGCTCTTATCTGTTTATCCCCTTCTTTTATTGTTGCAGTGTTTGATATCTTTGCTTCTCTTCTGTCTCGAGATGTGTGATAAGAATTAATAAATTATATTCAATTTTTGTGCGAGACACTTTTTGCAAATCTTTTTAACTTCATTTAAAGCGAGAAGTGAAAAAGAAGTCAGCGAATAGAGTTGAGGAGTTTTATTTATAATATTATTTTTATGAGGTTTTGATTAACGATTTTCGGTACACATTTCAAATTGTATTTGGGTTGGAACTTGGCACTTGAACAAGGAACATGAATTATTTTAAATTTCTGAAACAAAAATGGTATTTTTTTTTTAAACACTACACTGTGAAATTCAAAAAGTAAAACAGTAAAACGTCGGTATGTTCGGCCGGTCCGAAATAAGGATAATCTCTACTATGAGGTGCACATTCAAAATTTCCAAATGGATCTAAACTTTTATATGAGGGCAATGACATGTTAACTTTTTGACATCCAATGAAAACCGCAAATTTCAAACTGTAGCCATTTCGGTTGAAACCTATCTAATAAAATAATAAATATTGAAGGAACCTACTTTTAAACTTAGCCAAATATTGGTGGTAGAGAGATTTTCAACCTAATGAGACTGCAATATATTAAATTAGAACCTATTCGAGTGAAAAACATCTCAAAATATCGAAATTTGGGAGGTACGGGGGGATACATCCTAGCAATAATGCCCTTGGATATTGCGAACAGGCAGAGAATTAGGATACAAGTAAATAGCTGGGTAGGTAAAAAAGTGCAACATATCGTGTGGTCCTAATCCACATGTTGGATATGTGTTGGGCATTGTGTCCAATTGAAATTAGGAGGGGTATATAATTCTGATAGAACCTATGATGATTACTAGCATGCTGCTCCGGGCATTTCATCATACTGCATTTGCATGAATGGTATTCAAACATGCCTAACAGGCCTATTGATCTAGAGATTCCGCTAGTACATCTCCTAACTTGCATGGAAGGGGGAAGAGGTCTGCAGAGCTATATGAAAAGTATTCGCTTCCTCCTGCCATTCTTAGGGCAGCATTCTGGCAGGACTCACAGTTCTTCCTTTGCCACACTTGTACCCCTTCCTTTTATAATGAAGATCACTCCTGACGTGTATGGCAGGGTGAAGCTTGTGTTCCCGACAATAACACCCAATCAGTAACTGTTTTCTTAATTCTCTATTGCAAATACAGACGACTTGAATAGGTTGTTAATGGATTTCTCAATCGACCACTTTCTAGTGGAATGGAATGTGTAACTATACAAGACAAAATATTCTATGCTCCATATTCGAAAGAAGATTTCGACTAGAGACTGCAACATAAAATAATTATACTAATAAATATGGTCGGGTTATATTTCTGGGATCATCTGGACTAAAACTATATATTTTCTGCTTTCAACTCTTCAGAACCCAGGTTCAGGTCATAACATCACCGGGATAGAAAATTTGACGAACTTTTCTCTGTAAATATACGAACTTGTAAATCGCGTTTACGTAAGTTAAGACATTGCTTGCCTATGTCACCTGTAAAGAAATGATAATTGGATAGATTTTATTGTCTTCTAGTCTTGTGACAAAAAAATTGCTCAATTGGACTCTACAACGATCGGTTACGGGCGCTCTGCTTCAGGAATGATCATAAACTCTGATTTATATTTTCCTGTGTGGAAATATTATTTAACCACGTGACCATTTTGGCAAAGCTATATTGACCCAGCAATCTATGCCTATTACAACGGAGCATGGGTACACCTGCAAACCAAATGTTCAAAAGTTTCTATATCATTATCGGATCCTCGTAAAAATTTGTAAGTATGGATATAATTTTGAAGTGTACTATTCTGAAGATTCTTAATCGGATTTTTAACTCTAATTTTCCAATAGAAAGTAGTGAGTTCACTTGGAGTGTCTGCATTCACGCACCCTTTTCCTTTTACATTCCAAATTTTTCACAGTGAACCGATTTAGAAGATTATCGGAGGCGTAATAGATTCATCAATTGACATATCAGCAAACTAGAGTGCTATCGAGCAAACTAGTCTTAAACATAATTTATTATGGCTATGTTCTCGGGTTTGAAGGGGTAATATGTGGTATTTGTTGTTGTTTTTCTTAATGATTCCCATATATTTTATTTTGTTAAATTTGACGATTTTGTCTATAACATCCTTTAACTATCACAATACCATGATAAATATTATTTAATTTAATTTTTATTATAAATGCTCCCATTAGCACCCCCATATGTCCCCACCATAATCACAAATAAAAACACATAAATAGGATTTTTTAGGTTTTCAATTTTTTTGTTGTTGAAAAAAATTTCAAATTTATTTAATTTAAAATTTATTAATTTTTTAAATTTATTTTTGTTGTTGTTGTTGGTTTCTTCATTTTTTTCTTTTCTCTTGAATATTTTTTTGTTTTTTGTTTAAAACTTACAGACTACAGGTAGAGAAGACGCTAACTAAACACAAAAGGAAATAAAAAAGATTTGCAGTAGAAAAAATTAAAACATTAAATAAAAATATTTCGTATTTTTATTTACTTAAAAACAACAAAAAGAAAGAATTTAATTAATTATAATTATAATAATAATAATTTTAGGCTAAACAAAAAAGCTATAATAGATAGGAAAAAATTAATGTACAAAAGTATAGTAATATATATAGGATAATTTTTTAAAGAGTATAATTAGGTTTTACACAAATTAGAATTTTGTTCATTAAGTTTTTTTTATGATAATAAAATTCCATTAAATATCAACAGTATACGAGAAGTATCATCCTTTTTTTATGTGGGAGGGGTGTTGTTTTTTGAGATTTTGTAATTTATTTATAACATTTATATTAAAACTAATAAAAAAAATTAAAAAAAATAATAATAATATTAAACTTAATAAAAATTAAAAAATAAAAATTAACTAAAAATTAATTTGCACAGGTTTTGTTTTACTTATTATTGTTGTTTGTATTTTTTAAATTACGTATATATTTACTCTTAAACTATAGCAACTATTTATAAAGGCATGTAATATGCCTAATATTGTTTTTAGGGTTTTTTCTGTTTTTTTTTTGTTTTTGTAAAAATAATAATAAATTAATTTAAAGCAAACAAAAATTGCAATTAAGTTGAGAGTTTGAGTTTCTTTTTTTACGCTTAAGTTTCTGTTCATTTTTTATAAACTTTTTTTCGTTTCTTTTTTGTTTTTGTTTAAGTATACAATATAGTATCATTTTGTTTAGATTTTAAGATTAAACCTAAAGAGAAGATTTGTTTTTGTTTTACTTGCTTCTTTGTAAGATCAATTAAAATGAGTAAGTAGTAGGTATGGGTGTCTTGTTGTGTGTGTTGGTGTGTGTGAGAGAGTAAGTGTGTGTGATTGAGTTAGTTCTCAGTAACAACAAATGCAAATGGCGAATATCCTTTCACTGGGCCTTCTGGGGGGTTTTTGTTTTTGGAGGGGTAGGATTCTTATCAGTTATGGGTGGGACTTGAAATGTGAATTTCTTTACATTTTGTATTTGGAGTTCATAGAGACGAGTTTGGTATGATAATGCTGTTAATAAAAAAATATATAATTTTTGGTTAATAACTAATTTAAATGATTTCTTTTTTTTTAAGAAAAGCTTACCATTTGTTTTCCAATTTGTACAGCCTTCAAACATTTTATGGCTGGCTGTTTGATGAAAATTCTATTTGCTGCTGATGATCACTGACATTTGTGGGCTTGTTGTTGCTGATCACCACACTTCTACTGCTGCTGCTGCGGCCGCGACCACCACCACCCATTACTATAACATTTATGCTCCTCATCTCCTCTAGTATTGTTATTGTTATTATTTGTAATATTATTATTATTATCATTATGCTGCATACTATAATTATAATAATAATTTAGAATTTTTTCCTAATTTTATTCGCCTAAATGTTGTGCTGCCGCCGCCGCTGCTGCCGCCTTCTGGGCTTGAGCCTGTTTCTCTTGTTCGTTCAATTCTTTGATGGCCTGGATTTCTTTTTTCAATTTCATTCGTCGATTCTGGAACCAGATTTTTATTTGTCTTTCTGTCAGGCAGAGGGCATGTGCCATTTCAATTCTTCGTCGGCGGGTTAGATAGTGATTGGTGTGGAATTCTTTCTCTAATTCGAGTGTTTGATAGCGGGTATATGTTTGGCGACCACGTCTTCGTAGACCATTTGTACCTGGAAGAAATGTGGATCACACGGGAAATGGAATGTAAATATTAGAATGTTCAAACAATGTGTATAAATTTTTGAATATAATTAAATACATACTTCAAAATTGAAGCTGCACGGTTAATTTTTTTTTAATTTAATTTTTTTTGTTTTTGTAATTTTTTTGTTAATTAAAATGAAAATCGTTTAACATAACCTCATTAATAATGTAACGTTAGTAATAACAATTTCTAGAAAATTAAAATAATTATTTCTATTTCATTCACTAAATTTATAACTAAGTTAATTTTCGTAAAAAAAACATTATGTGGGAATGACCCCGCTCTCGAAATGGCAATTAAAATTTAATAGAATCCTCACAATTCATAATGGTGAGGGTATAACTAATTTTTGGTTTTAAAAACCGAGTATATATTACAAATAATTGATCAGGGTGAGATCCTCCCTGTATTACACGATATTTGATATGAATGGCGTTGTTAATTACGAGAGGTGGTTCAAAATGTGTTTATATATTATTATTATTTTTTTTTGAAAACGTTTTTAAAAAATCCCAAAATATCCGCTATTTTTAATGGAGCTTTTATACAAAATTTTTCATTTTTAATGAGCTTTTTGTGTTCTTAACATTTCTAAAAGATGGCGTTATTTTTAGATCGTTCTTGAAACCAAGAGAAGATTTAAAGCCAATATCACAGATGAAACAAACGAAGAGCTTTTATGTGGTCACACTGAGAGAAAGTATGGGGAGATTATCTACTCAATACGAACCCAAAATACTATTATTATAACCAATTTGATAAAAACGTGCCCAAACTGCCGAATATTGAAGGTAGCGTTATGTGGGACTATACCAATCAAAGCTATATATATACTATATCAAAGCTATATCTTTAATATGGCGAGTTACGTCGTTATTTCAACAGACAGACGGACCTGGCTAAATCGAGATAGGATTGTATTTTGAACAATAATATAAAACGGAATGATAATATACACCTTACCATAAAGTGGAGGGTAACAAATTCGAAGGTTAGAGGTCTTATGCTGATTTTTAAGAAACAAATCGGCATAAATTATATTTAAGATTTCAGTGTAGAATTATTAAATCTTAGCCCATTATATTCCATTTGTTATTTAAAAAAACTATTTTGATTTCGTTTGCCATGATTTAAATTTAGATTTAATTTCCCTTTAGGCACAAAATCAATTTTGAGGCTATAACAAATTGATGTTTACAGGTTATACTGATTTTGGAGAAAAACAATTCGGTGTTATATTTTGTTTAAGATTTCTGATAAATTATATATTATAGTACGTTTACATTTAACTGGATTTCGTTAACCCAATGGGTTTCAATTGTCAATCCCTTTGCATATATGTCAAATAAATCCTCGTAAAGTAGGTTAACCCGGTAAAAAAGTTCTAATGTATATGCCGTTTTAGCCAAATATGTCACATTTGCATTTTTTTTAAAATATTTAGATTTCGATTTTTATGATTTAAATTTAGATTTTTTCTTCCAAGATTTGGATTTTACCCCAAGACCAAATTTTCCTTAAAGAACAACATCATTCTACTCCTTTATATTATGCTGAAATAAAATTTTTTGTCATATTCTTTGATGTATTTCTAATTGAATTTTAATACCCATTTTATTTCACATTTTTCTCTGTGTACTACAACCGCCTAATGATTTAAAGATTACTTTATCAGCGAAAACATTTTCGGAGGTTTAGCTATGAATTATGTTCGTGTATACATAATGAATGATACAGCATGGTATTTATGTACGAATGAGTATGTATGTCCGTGTGTCTCTCCTTCACCCAACCCCAACCATAGGCCGTAAAACACATCCCGTAACACATTTTGGGGCTATAACAATGTGTTTTAATGGGGTTTTATGGGAATAAATGCGTGTGTTTACGACTCAGAGAGACCCTATATGATAAATGTTCACCGCTGTTCGAAGTTGTTTTGCTTTCTCGTTCTAGCTTATATCTTCTTCACTTATTCTACGTTCATTGGCATTTGCAGTTGAATGAGTTATAATCGAGCCCAAAAAAAAAAAACACGAACAAAAAGAAAAAAGAACAACCGCCAAACGAGAATCGAGAACCAGAACAAACCCTAAAAACATAGCAGCAAAAATTGGGGCATTTTATTTTCTTGTTCTTTACGTTCCTTTCATTTGGCTGTTTGCTGGTGCCTGAAGGTAAGGCGAGAGAGCCATAAGGGGGGTTGTTATTCTCAAGCCCAGCATACCAAATTATATATTTCAAGAAATTAGACACACACGCACATAGCTGCTGGCAGCCAGTTAGCCCACTATTCAAGTAACGGTGTGTCACACTATAAAGATGTAAAATAGCAAATGATGATGATTTCCATCGTTCTGCCCACATAAATTATTTAATATTTCTTATCAACAGCAACAACAAGAAGATGAGAGACCGAAAATAAATATGAAAGAATGGAGAAAAAAACTGTGAACGAAATAAATAAGAAATTTTTGCTGATAAGGAAATTATGATTTCTTTCGGGTATTTCTATTTCTATTTTTTTCTTGAGTGGTAAATGTTTATTGAGATAATAATGGTTTCATATAGCCAATAGAAATTGTATGAATGTTTTTGATTTATGACAGAAGCCTAGATTCTTGTTTTTTTAATCAATGCATTTGGGAGGATGAGGAGTAGTATTTTTAAAGTTGTGGGGTCGGGGTAGAATTATTCGAGAGGCTCGCAAGGTGGACCATTGTGAATGTATGTTTAATTTTTGTTTTACTTAGAGGTGTTTTGCTTCATCATAGATTTTGTGTCAAAATTGTTGAGAACCATGGCATCTACATAGCCCTGGAGATTTTGAATTTAGTCTGTGTCGATTATTATCTGCTTTAGAGCAAACTACCCCTTGACGATTCTTGGATTCATGATTATTGCAGAAAAAAATCCAAAATTGTAAAAGAAGAACATTTCGGCCGAATGAAAGGTTTTTACTCAGAGAATTCTTCGCTAGCTTTACCATTGTAAATCATGCCTTCTGGCCAATGGCTTTAATGGTCAATTAACATTGTTGCCCATAACTTATTTCCCAGAAATATTGAACAAAGATTAATTTTAAAACATCTTAATTCCTTTGAGTGCGAAGAATCAAAATTTAATTAAAATGTTCATTTGGTTATTGTTTAGAACATGTCATCCATTTTTTGGCATAGAGTTTATTTCTGGATCTGGAAATTTCACAGCTGAATGATTTTATTTAATATTTGTATTTCGTGTTGTTATTTCAATTTGTAAATTTTTCACAAAAAACAGAAGGATGTTATTTTTTAAAAATGTGTTAGGCATTGTATTTTTGTAAAAAAGTGTATATGTGTTAGATATTTGTTTTTATCGGTATTTTCAATTTTATAAAATTTTTTCATTTTGCCTTTTTATCTTCCTTCGTATTTTTGTGTATTTTGTGAGAAATCAGGATTTTTCTCTTTAACAAACGTTTAACAGCAAATAAAGGTCATTGTAATGTTGTCTATGTAATCTTTAAGTACAGTGGTGTTGAAAAGTAATTGTAATTTTTTTTTTTAATTTCAAAATTTTTGAATAATAATTTGAATAACTGATTTTAAAAATTGGAATAAATTTTACATAAAATTTGAAATATACAAAATTTAATATTTTTTCTTTTTTGGAAAAAAGGGGTGGAATGTAGAAAACATGAAATATTTTGGTGAAAAAAAAAAAAAACAGAGAAGGAAAACAAACAATAACGAAAAATATTTGAAGCATGCCAAAACATTCAAAAGTCTTTTGGCTTAGAAAACCTTAAAACAACTCATGTAAAAATTTCAAGTTCGGCCGGGACGAACCCTACATCGTGAAGTGGTCATTTAAAATACATCAAAAATCGATAGAGTTTCTTATATAAAGGCCACGCTATAGACAATTTTTCATTTTAAATCAAAGCCAATTCAACGTACCAAAATTACGGAATAATGGGGTGGGATACTATTATTTTGTAGAGATGAGTAAAGATCCGAAGTCCAAATTATCACATGTCGCTGACTGTTTTTTTTTTGTCTCTCCCGTACAATTTTAAAATATGCACTTATTGCCTTTACATGATAAGGCAATAAACTTTATAGGGTCTCAGGTGAATATTTCGCGATGTTTCAAATGGAATTATATTTAAATTGTCGGAAGTCAAAATTTCTATTTCTATTTGAATTCTCGAAAAATATTCGAGTTTCAAAGTCATGCACTCTCATTTATTATGAAATTTCTTTCAGGTTAAAAATTTTCACTACAATTTAAAAAAAATAATTTTTTATTATGTCTTATAAATTCTTTCCTACATTCCTCATACCTACACTTTTCTGCCTTACTGTACCGCAAAAAATGTTGGCATTTAGTTACACACACATTTAGTACACAAAATTCATGCATATTAATCAAAAACAATATCCTGCGTAAAAAGGTGTGTTGGGTTTGATCTGAATTGTTTTTTTTTCCTCTTTTTTTTCATATTCCCTTTGCCCCGCCAGCAAAAATATTTGGCACTACTTTTTAGCAGAGTGTGTTTATGTGCTACAAAAAATCTTATATATACAAACATATAAACTTCACATGTATGTATAAATGTAGTGTGTTTGTATGAATTGTTTTTAACAGAGAAAACACATAAATCAAATAAAATTTATACGCTTTCATCTGCTGAATTTGCAAAAAATTGGCTTTTATGTAAATCCTTTACAAAGTCCTTTTTGCTGCTGAACACACACAACAATAATAACAAAGAGCGGCAGTTGTTGTAAAACGCTATGACCGCCCACCCATAGGCCATGATTCACAGTTTCGATGGCATCCCTTGAAAAGTTGTTAGCCGTTTTATTTTTTGTTGTTGCTGTTGTTGTTGGTTAATGGCAGCCAGCATTGAAAGGTTTGTTAGGTGGTTGGTTGTTTGCTTAAATGGTTATAAATGCCTTAACATCGAAAAAATTTTTG